TAAATAACTGCCCATAGGAGTCCTTGCCCCTGTCACCACCAGTTTCCTAGGTTCCTGACTCAACAGCTCCCAGCTATTTCGATCATTGCAAAAGTGAGGCAATTTAAGTTCTGCATTGGCAATACTAGGGATGAACCTTTTGAGTTAATTGTGGGCATAGGGGCAGGAGGAATGGGGAAAGAAGTGGGTATTTGAAAGGAATATGAGAGGTCTGAGAATCCCACTCAAGTATATGCCAAGATAATGACAATACTGTGTGGTAAGTCAAAGTGGGTCTCAGAATCTTACTGTGCTTTTTTTTTTCTTCTTTCTAACTTTTTATCTTGCCTTCACCCCTAACTAACTACTTTATCTAACTTTCCTCATCTGTAAAATGAGTTGTAAGGTTTAACTGGAATCATGCAATGTAAAGCACTTAGTAAGGTGCCTGGTATCTGGAAAGAGCTCATTTAATATTTGCTTTCATCTGTATTGCTCCATTCCGGGGAGTAATTGGGATGCTGGAAGAAAACACCCAATGTGCCATCCTCCCAACCCCCAAAATCAATCTCGCACTAGGGAAGCTGATGGGAAAATACCGTGCAGAAGGCCAAGGGGTGGCCGCTCCAGGGAAGGGTTTCTGAAGGCTCCAGGCTACCTCTTCACCCAGGAGCCCACCCTCCCGTTGGTCTCTGCGGTGGCTCCGCGGGCGCGGTCAGTGGCCAAGGGCTCCACCCAGCCAGCGGGGTGGATCCGCGGGCGGGGCTCCGCTCCCTGGAGTCCTGGGAGGGCAATATAAAGGCTCGGCGAGGCAGCAGTGCGCAGGGGCAGCGCGGCGGGCTGGGGCCAAGACCCAGAGACCAGAGCAGCAGGCACCAAGGCAGCCTGGAGAGGGACGAGCGCCATGAGCAGCAAATGTGACGTGGTCGTGGTGGGGGGCGGAATCTCAGGTCAGTTGCGGCTGAGCGCCTTTTCTCTTCCTCCAGCGCTGGGTGGCCATGGGCAGGGACTGCCTCCACGAGCCCCTAAATTATCCGTGCACTGACTGGGAACTAGAGTGTCCAGAGCGCCGCGCACAGAACCCTCCCTCAGGGGGAAGATTTGGTGCGCCCCTGGATAGAAGCATGGGGCTGGAAGTCTGCTGAAGGTCTGGGGCAAGACTTCTAATTTCCCCCTTGAATAGCTGCCAAGCTTATGTTTGATATAATTTTCAAAGCAAGGGGAAAGGTGGAGGGAAAGAGAGAGGTTCCTACTTCGGGTTAGTGCAAAGGTCTGTCACTTGCTCTAAGCAACGGTTAGCCATTTGCTCCAACCTGACCTGGACACTCCACACCCACACTTGGAGCAGGCTTGCACCACAACGTATTATTATCCTGACACAAGGAAAACGACCTTGAACAGCTCCGGGTTCAGAAAGGAGGTGGACTCCAGGGCAATCGATTGCCAGAGACTGTCCTCACCTAGATTCTTTGTGGTTCCATGATTGTCACGGGTCTACCTGGAGCTGCAGGGTGTTCTTGGCCAGTGTCTCTTCT